CCATGCAAGTAAATCACAGTCGCCAGCTTTTGGAGTTTTACCAGCTCTAATGGAGTTATAATGACTAGCTTGTGCTTTTGTTTGGCTGTAACCAAAGTCTTGTTTGCTCCTGGTATAGTTCCTCCATATTACCAGGGCTGTCTATAAGGTGTCTAATTTTGCTTGCTTTTCAGTGTCATAAAGTTGTTGAATTTTACTTGAAATAGTCTTTTGGCACAGCAGTTGTAAGTTGGATCACCTGACGCTAAGTGTAGTACATTTTCTAACCCCCTATCTTCTACCACTGATAGTGGTTTACAGTCCAGAGCAATCAATTTTGCGAGAGAATTTGTAAGTTTGTCCAGTGTTGACTTACTAATTTTAGTCCTTAAGTTAGTCATTTCATCAAGTTTGGGCTGCCATCACCTTTTGTTGGTACTCAGACTGCTAGCAACATGTTTTGCATTTAGATAGTAATTAGGGTTGCCAACCGTCCCTTAAAAAACAGAATCGTCCCGTATTTAGAAACAAAAGTACACGTCCCGTATTAAGCTGAAAAGGGATGCACTTTGTCCCGTAATACAGTGAGAATCAAAAGTAGTCTACAAGTTTTAATGTAGTTAACGCTTTGTTTGAAAACATAATTCCCAGCCCCGCTCCTGCTTTGTGACCAATGAGCTGACAGCACACTTATGACAATTCGAGTATGACAATTCAGATTACCGCTCATCTCATTGGTTGAGGAAAGGTCGCTTGCGGAGAAAATACCGGAAGACAACAGATGACCACAACAAAAAGCATGGCCAACAGGGAAACAAACACCGACACTGCGGTGCAAGTCTCAGACGACAGTACACCTGAAGCTGGGCAAACACTGTGCGATTTTCAAACTGCACGATTGGCTCGCATGGGTTATAAGTTCGTAGGTCACGATGCAGGGTCTCACACTATACCGCCCGATGCTCTGATGCGACCTGAGTGCTCACACTGTGCCTCCATTAAATGAAGGTTATAACAGAAAATCTGTCGCTCGCTCTCCCTCTCTGTCTTTCACTCACACAGACACA